TGCAGAGCACGCAGAAAGTACATGGAATGCAGAGCACGCAGAAAGTACATGGAATGCAGAGCACGCAGAAAGTACATGGAATGCAGAGCACGCAGAAAGTACATGGAATGCAGAGCACGCAGAAAGTACATGGAATGCAGAGCACGCAGAAAGTACATGGAATGCAGAGCACGCAGAAAGTACATGGAATGCAGAGCACGCAGAAAGTACATGGAATGCAGAGCACGCAGAAAGTACATGGAATGCAGAGCACGCAGAAAGTACATGGAATGCAGAGCACGCAGAAAGTACATGGAATGCAGAGCACGCAGAAAGTACATGGAATGCAGAGCACGCAGAAAGTACATGGAATGCAGAGCACGCAGAAAGTACATGGAATGCAGAGCACGCAGAAAGTACATGGAATGCAGAGCACGCAGAAAGTACATGGAATGCAGAGCACGCAGAAAGTACATGGAATGCAGAGCACGCAGAAAGTACATGGAATGCAGAGCACGCAGAAAGTACATGGAATGCAGAGCACGCAGAAAGTACATGGAATGCAGAGCACGCAGAAAGTACATGGAATGCAGAGCACGCAGAAAGTACATGGAATGCAGAGCACGCAGAAAGTACATGGAATGCAGAGCACGCAGAAAGTACATGGAATGCAGAGCACGCAGAAAGTACATGGAATGCAGAGCACGCAGAAAGTACATGGAATGCAGAGCACGCAGAAAGTACATGGAATGCAGAGCACGCAGAAAGTACATGGAATGCAGAGCACGCAGAAAGTACATGGAATGCAGAGCACGCAGAAAGTACATGGAATGCAGAGCACGCAGAAAGTACATGGAATGCAGAGCACGCAGAAAGTACATGGGGAGCACGCAGAAAGTACATGGAATGCAGAGCACGCAGAAAGTACATGGAATGCAGAGCACGCAGAAAGTACATGGAATGCAGAGCACGCAGAAAGTACATGGAATGCAGAGCACGCAGAAAGTACATGGAATGCAGAGCACGCAGAAAGTACATGGAATGCAGAGCACGCAGAAAGTACATGGAATGCAGAGCACGCAGAAAGTACATGGAATGCAGAGCACGCAGAAAGTACATGGAATGCAGAGCACGCAGAAAGTACATGGAATGCAGAGCACGCAGAAAGTACATGGAATGCAGAGCACGCAGAAAGTACATGGAATGCAGAGCACGCAGAAAGTACATGGAATGCAGAGCACGCAGAAAGTACATGGAATGCAGAGCACGCAGAAAGTACATGGAATGCAGAGCACGCAGAAAGTACATGGAATGCAGAGCACGCAGAAAGTACATGGAATGCAGAGCACGCAGAAAGTACATGGAATGCAGAGCACGCAGAAAGTACATGGAATGCAGAGCACGCAGAAAGTACATGGAATGCAGAGCACGCAGAAAGTACATGGAATGCAGAGCACGCAGAAAGTACATGGAATGCAGAGCACGCAGAAAGTACATGGAATGCAGAGCACGCAGAAAGTACATGGAATGCAGAGCACGCAGAAAGTACATGGAATGCAGAGCACGCAGAAAGTACATGGAATGCAGAGCACGCAGAAAGTACATGGAATGCAGAGCACGCAGAAAGTACATGGAATGCAGAGCACGCAGAAAGTACATGGAATGCAGAGCACGCAGAAAGTACATGGAATGCAGAGCACGCAGAAAGTACATGGAATGCAGAGCACGCAGAAAGTACATGGAATGCAGAGCACGCAGAAAGTACATGGAATGCAGAGCACGCAGAAAGTACATGGAATGCAGAGCACGCAGAAAGTACATGGAATGCAGAGCACGCAGAAAGTACATGGAATGCAGAGCACGCAGAAAGTACATGGAATGCAGAGCACGCAGAAAGTACATGGAATGCAGAGCACGCAGAAAGTACATGGAATGCAGAGCACGCAGAAAGTACATGGAATGCAGAGCACGCAGAAAGTACATGGAATGCAGAGCACGCAGAAAGTACATGGAATGCAGAGCACGCAGAAAGTACATGGAATGCAGAGCACGCAGAAAGTACATGGAATGCAGAGCACGCAGAAAGTACATGGAATGCAGAGCACGCAGAAAGTACATGGAATGCAGAGCACGCAGAAAGTACATGGAATGCAGAGCACGCAGAAAGTACATGGAATGCAGAGCACGCAGAAAGTACATGGAATGCAGAGCACGCAGAAAGTACATGGAATGCAGAGCACGCAGAAAGTACATGGAATGCAGAGCACGCAGAAAGTACATGGAATGCAGAGCACGCAGAAAGTACATGGAATGCAGAGCACGCAGAAAGTACATGGAATGCAGAGCACGCAGAAAGTACATGGAATGCAGAGCACGCAGAAAGTACATGGAATGCAGAGCACGCAGAAAGTACATGGAATGCAGAGCACGCAGAAAGTACATGGAATGCAGAGCACGCAGAAAGTACATGGAATGCAGAGCACGCAGAAAGTACATGGAATGCAGAGCACGCAGAAAGTACATGGAATGCAGAGCACGCAGAAAGTACATGGAATGCAGAGCACGCAGAAAGTACATGGAATGCAGAGCACGCAGAAAGTACATGGAATGCAGAGCAGACGCAGAAAGTACATGGAAGCAGGCACGCAGAAAGTACATGGAATGCAGGGCAGCAGAAAGTACATGGAATGCAGAGCACGCAGAAAGTACATGGAATGCAGAGCACGCAGAAAGTACATGGAATGCAGAGCACGCAGAAAGTACATGGAATGCAGAGCACGCAGAAAGTACATGGAATGCAGAGCACGCAGAAAGTACATGGAATGCAGAGCACGCAGAAAGTACATGGAATGCAGAGCACGCAGAAAGTACATGGAATGCAGAGCACGCAGAAAGTACATGGAATGCAGAGCACGCAGAAAGTACATGGAATGCAGAGCACGCAGAAAGTACATGGAATGCAGAGCACGCAGAAAGTACATGGAATGCAGAGCACGCAGAAAGTACATGGAATGCAGAGCACGCAGAAAGTACATGGAATGCAGAGCACGCAGAAAGTACATGGAATGCAGAGCACGCAGAAAGTACATGGAATGCAGAGCACGCAGAAAGTACATGGAATGCAGAGCACGCAGAAAGTACATGGAATGCAGAGCACGCAGAAAGTACATGGAATGCAGAGCACGCAGAAAGTACATGGAATGCAGAGCACGCAGAAAGTACATGGAATGCAGAGCACGCAGAAAGTACATGGAATGCAGAGCACGCAGAAAGTACATGGAATGCAGAGCACGCAGAAAGTACATGGAATGCAGAGCACGCAGAAAGTACATGGAATGCAGAGCACGCAGAAAGTACATGGAATGCAGAGCACGCAGAAAGTACATGGAATGCAGAGCACGCAGAAAGTACATGGAATGCAGAGCACGCAGAAAGTACATGGAATGCAGAGCACGCAGAAAGTACATGGAATGCAGAGCACGCAGAAAGTACATGGAATGCAGAGCACGCAGAAAGTACATGGAATGCAGAGCACGCAGAAAGTACATGGAATGCAGAGCACGCAGAAAGTACATGGAATGCAGAGCACGCAGAAAGTACATGGAATGCAGAGCACGCAGAAAGTACATGGAATGCAGAGCACGCAGAAAGTACATGGAATGCAGAGCACGCAGAAAGTACATGGAATGCAGAGCACGCAGAAAGTACATGGAATGCAGAGCACGCAGAAAGTACATGGAATGCAGAGCACGCAGAAAGTACATGGAATGCAGAGCACGCAGAAAGTACATGGAATGCAGAGCACGCAGAAAGTACATGGAATGCAGAGCACGCAGAAAGTACATGGAATGCAGAGCACGCAGAAAGTACATGGAATGCAGAGCACGCAGAAAGTACATGGAATGCAGAGCACGCAGAAAGTACATGGAATGCAGAGCACGCAGAAAGTACATGGAATGCAGAGCACGCAGAAAGTACATGGAATGCAGAGCACGCAGAAAGTACATGGAATGCAGAGCACGCAGAAAGTACATGGAATGCAGAGCACGCAGAAAGTACATGGAATGCAGAGCACGCAGAAAGTACATGGAATGCAGAGCACGCAGAAAGTACATGGAATGCAGAGCACGCAGAAAGTACATGGAATGCAGAGCACGCAGAAAGTACATGGAATGCAGAGCACGCAGAAAGTACATGGAATGCAGAGCACGCAGAAAGTACATGGAATGCAGAGCACGCAGAAAGTACATGGAATGCAGAGCACGCAGAAAGTACATGGAATGCAGAGCACGCAGAAAGTACATGGAATGCAGAGCACGCAGAAAGTACATGGAATGCAGAGCACGCAGAAAGTACATGGAATGCAGCCGAATGGGGAGGGAGGGGCCGTGGAGAGTTCAGTTGGGCGACCTGCCACGCCACACAGCCCTCGTACACGTTCAGATTGGACTAGTTTTGACGCGCCTCAAAACTACACGTTCAGATAGGACTAGTTTTGAGCCCTCGTACACGTTCAGATAGGAGACAGAGTCGCCCTGGTGGGAGAGAAGAGCGGGTGGGAGGGTGAGAGTGTGAGAGGAAGGGTAAGAAACGCAGAGAATGTAGAGGTAGGGGTGAGGGGTTAAGGTGAAAGCAGCTGCGTTACTTGTTATGATGAAGAGCCCTTGTTATGATGAAGAGCCCTTGTGCACGTTCAGGGTAGAACACGAGGCGGCCCTGGTGAGAGGAGATGGAGGGTCGAAGTTGGTGGACGTGGTGTGCGGTGGAGAGTGGTGAGGCGCGGTGAAAAAACAGGCGTGCAGACAGCATAGAACGACTCGCGGCCATTTCCCCTATACATTACACATCTCCCCACCTCTGCAGCAGCAAACGGCTCCTTGAGTCGGTCGGGCGCTCCGTCTGCCTGCCACTGTTGCTCACCCACACCACACGGACTGTTGCCACCGTGTTTCGAGCATTTTCTAAGCATACCTATGCAATACCATCCCCCCTGCCTACGCACTCCCTTCAAATCTCCCCACCTCTGCGGCTGCGAATCTCTCTTTCAGTCGGTCCGACTCTCTCTGCCGGCCACTGCTGCCCACCCACACTGACTGGAGGAAGGGGGATAGCAGCAGTGTGGAAAGGAAGAGAAAGCGGTACAGATAGGTGAGGATGCCTGGAGGCGACTGCGATACAGTCTGGTAGGGAGGGAACAGCAAGAGGGGAGAGGAAGGAGTATGAAGGGAGGAGGACGTGGGAGAACAAAGTGAGGGGATGTCCCTGTGTTTGTTGAGAATTCTAAAAAAATCCCTGCAAAGTGAGGGGGAAGATGGTGGTGAACAGGAGAGGAGCAAGGGGAGGGCGAGCAGGGAAGGGGGGAGAAGAAAGAGAAACTGTGGATGCCACATGGTGCCTGTAACACTCACCAAGTCAAATAAGTGCCATGCCTCCAAGTTCAAGACCGCTGGCCTCCATACCCCATACTCATGCAGCATCTCGCCACACACACCCCATGCCATATACCAAGCAGCCACCCTTCCACAGACCGCCCCCAAGCCCACATCAGCAAGCCCATATCCGCACACGCACATCCGCATGCCCATATCCGCACACGCACATCCGCATGCCCATACCCGCACACGCAAATCCGCATGCCCATATCCGCACACGCACATCCGCATGCCCATATCCGCACACGCACATCCGCATGCCCATATCCGCACACGCACATCCGCATGCCCATATCCGCACACGCACATCCGCATGCCCATATCCGCACACGCACATCCGCATGCCCATATCCGCACACGCACATCCGCATGCCCATATCCCCTGCCCACAAGCCCATCCCCTCCTCCTGTTACCTGCACACACAGTGACGCAGCAACTGTACACATCTCCTCCGAACAACCATCAGCCTCGTCATCCCCCCCATCTTCCTCCTCCTCCTCTTCCTCATCTTTCCCACCCAGGCGACCTCCCCTGCCTCCACCCTTCACAGCACTGCCAGCAGCGCCAGCAGCAGTGGTGCCAGGTGCATTGGCTGATACAAGCAGCATGAAGGCAACCAGAGGGTCCTGGGAAAATGACAAGCACGCGGGAATGAGGAGCATTAGAAGACACCACAGGTATGAGAATCGCAGTTTCAGGCTCTTCAGTCGGGAGAGTTGGGTGAGGGACAGGAAAATTTAATGCTGTGCTCACAAGAGAAAAATCGTTACCATGACCTGGTTACCAGCATGTGATTACCACATGCATCCTACCAGAGGAAACTCTGCCAGCTGGATTCCAACAGGCTTGGTCAGTCTGCCGTCCATATCCAGCGCCCGGACGGCAAAGAGCGTCTCTAGTGCGCGGATCATGGCGGACGGCGCGGGCGGCGAGAGCCAATCAAATCGCATGATGTTGTCGATGCCGAGGGACTTGAGCTGCAGCACTGTTGCTGTGAGATCTGATCGCTGGATCTCCGGGATCGTGTGGGCGGCAAGATCTGTCATGTAGCTGTTCTCTGTGTATAGTCTGTTGGAGAGAAGAGGGGCGAAGATGAGGGTAGGGAAGAGGAGAGAAGCGGTGAGGAGAGAAGCGGTGAGGAGAGAAGGGAAGAGACAAAGACAGACAGAGAGAGCCAAATGGGGAATGCAATACCTCCTGTTACCACTGAGATCTTGGTGGAATGCAGTGCCCACCAAAGTACAGATTTCCGTTGCGAGTGTACTGTGTGTTTAGAGAGTGCGAGAAGCTTCACCTGTAGCATTTCCCTGGCCTCACTCGCCCGGCCCTGCCTGCCCTCTGCTGTGCCGATGCTCGTGACACGGGCACTAGCAGCAACGCGTCCACGTTGGATACCTGAGGGGATGAGGGATGGGAGCGCAGAACATCACAGGAGGGAGGGGGGAGGGGGGAGAGGACGGGTTGTTGCCCCCTGGCTGCCCTCTGCTGTGCCGATGCTCGTGACACGGGCACTAGCAGCAACGAGTCCACGTTGGACACCTGAGGAGATGGGGGATGGTAGAAATGCGAACCGTGAGGTGCTGAAAACAGTGACATGGGCACTAGCAGCAGAGCATGTGCGTTGGACACTGGAGGGATGCGGCTGTGGGAGGGGGCACGGAACAGAACTGGGGAAACGAGAGGGGTTCCTGAGGCGCTTCGAGAACGGGATGTTAGGAGTCTCTAAACAAGCACCAGGATGGCACAGCACAGTACAGGGGCGCGGCTAGAAAGAAAATGTCCCGAGGTTAACAGGTTCGCAGGGGGTTGGGAACTGGGGCGGGTTACCAGGGGGTTGGGAGCTGGGGCGGGTTACCAGGGGGTTGGGAACTGGGGCGGGTTCGCAGGGGCTTTGAACTGGGGCGGGTTCGCAGGGGCTTTGAACTGGGGCGGGTTCGCAGGGGCTTTGAACTGGGGCGGGTTACCAGGGGGTTGGGAACTGGGGCGGGTTCGCAGGGGCTTTGAACTGGGGCGGGTTCGCAGGGGCTTTGAACTGGGGCGGGTTCGCAGGGGCTTTGAACTGGGGCGGGTTCGCAGGGGCTTTGAACTGGGGCGGGTTACCAGGGGGTTGGGAACTGGGGCGGGTTCGCAGGGGCTTTGAACTGGGGCGGGTTCGCAGGGGCTTTGAACTGGGGCGGGTTACCAGGGGGTTGGGAACTGGGGCGGGTTCGCAGGGGCTTTGAACTGGGGCGGGTTCGCAGGGGCTTTGAACTGGGGCGGGTTCGCAGGGGCTTTGAACTGGGGCGGGTTACCAGGGGTTGGGAACTGGGGCGGGTTCGCAGGGGCTTTGAACTGGGGCGGGTTCGCAGGGGCTTTGAACTGGGGCGGGTTCGCAGGGGCTTTGAACTGGGGCGGGTTACCAGGGGGTTGGGAACTGGGGCGGGTTCGCAGGGGCTTTGAACTGGGGCGGGTTCGCAGGGGCTTTGAACTGGGGCGGGTTCGCAGGGGCTTTGAACTGGGGCGGGTTACCAGGGGGTTGGGAACTGGGGCGGGTTCGCAGGGGCTTTGAACTGGGGCGGGTTCGCAGGGGCTTTGAACTGGGGCGGGTTCGCAGGGGCTTTGAACTGGGGCGGGTTACCAGGGGGTTGGGAACTGGGGCGGGTTCGCAGGGGCTTTGAACTGGGGCGGGTTCGCAGGGGCTTTGAACTGGGGCGGGTTCGCAGGGGCTTTGAACTGGGGCGGGTTACCAGGGGGTTGGGAACTGGGGCGGGTTCGCAGGGGCTTTGAACTGGGGCGGGTTCGCAGGGGCTTTGAACTGGGGCGGGTTCGCAGGGGCTTTGAACTGGGGCGGGTTACCAGGGGGTTGGGAACTGGGGCGGGTTCGCAGGGGCTTTGAACTGGGGCGGGTTCGCAGGGGCTTTGAACTGGGGCGGGTTCGCAGAGGCTTTGAACTGGGGCGGGTTACCAGGGGGTTGGGAACTGGGGCGGGTTCGCAGGGGCTTTGAACTGGGGCGGGTTCGCAGGGGCTTTGAACTGGGGCGGGTTCGCAGAGGCTTTGAACTGGGGCGGGTTCGCAGGGGCTTTGAACTGGGGCGGGTTCGCAGGGGCTTTGAACTGGGGCGGGTTACCAGGGGGTTGGGAACTGGGGCGGGTTACCAGGGGGTTGGGAACTGGGGCGGGTTCGCAGGGGCTTTGAACTGGGGCGGGTTCGCAGGGGCTTTGAACTGGGGCGGGTTCGCAGGGGCTTTGAACTGGGGCGGGTTACCAGGGGGTTGGGAACTGGGGCGGGTTCGCAGGGGCTTTGAACTGGGGCGGGTTCGCAGGGGCTTTGAACTGGGGCGGGTTCGCAGGGGCTTTGAACTGGGGCGGGTTCGCAGGGGCTTTGAACTGGGGCGGGTTCGCAGGGGCTTTGAACTGGGGCGGGTTACCAGGGGGTTGGGAACTGGGGCGGGTTCGCAGGGGCTTTGAACTGGGGCGGGTTCGCAGGGGCTTTGAACTGGGGCGGGTTCGCAGGGGCTTTGAACTGGGGCGGGTTACCAGGGGGTTGGGAACTGGGGCGGGTTCGCAGGGGCTTTGAACTGGGGCGGGTTCGCAGGGGCTTTGAACTGGGGCGGGTTCGCAGGGGCTTTGAACTGGGGCGGGTTCGCAGGGGCTTTGAACTGGGGCGGGTTCGCAGGGGCTTTGAACTGGGGCGGGTTACCAGGGGGTTGGGAACTGGGGCGGGTTCGCAGGGGCTTTGAACTGGGGCGGGTTCGCAGGGGCTTTGAACTGGGGCGGGTTCGCAGGGGCTTTGAACTGGGGCGGGTTACCAGGGGGTTGGGAACTGGGGCGGGTTCGCAGGGGCTTTGAACTGGGGCGGGTTCGCAGGGGCTTTGAACTGGGGCGGGTTCGCAGGGGCTTTGAACTGGGGCGGGTTCGCAGGGGCTTTGAACTGGGGCGGGTTCGCAGGGGCTTTGAACTGGGGCGGGTTCGCAGGGGCTTTGAACTGGGGCGGGTTACCAGGGGGTTGGGAACTGGGGCGGGTTAACAGGGGGTTGGAACTGGGGCGGGTTCGCAGGGGCTTTGAACTGGGGCGGGTTCGCAGGGGCTTTGAACTGGGGCGGGTTCGCAGGGGCTTTGAACTGGGGCGGGTTCGCAGGGGCTTTGAACTGGGGCGGGTTACCAGGGGGTTGGGAACTGGGGCGGGTTCGCAGGGGCTTTGAACTGGGGCGGGTTCGCAGGGGCTTTGAACTGGGGCGGGTTCGCAGGGGCTTTGAACTGGGGCGGGTTACCAGGGGGTTGGGAACTGGGGCGGGTTCGCAGGGGCTTTGAACTGGGGCGGGTTCGCAGGGGCTTTGAACTGGGGCGGGTTCGCAGGGGCTTTGAACTGGGGCGGGTTACCAGGGGGTTGGGAACTGGGGCGGGTTCGCAGGGGCTTTGAACTGGGGCGGGTTCGCAGGGGCTTTGAACTGGGGCGGGTTCGCAGGGGCTTTGAACTGGGGCGGGTTACCAGGGGGTTGGGAACTGGGGCGGGTTCGCAGGGGCTTTGAACTGGGGCGGGTTCGCAGGGGCTTTGAACTGGGGCGGGTTACCAGGGGTTGGGAACTGGGGCGGGTTCGCAGGGGCTTTGAACTGGGGCGGGTTCGCAGGGGCTTTGAACTGGGGCGGGTTCGCAGGGGCTTTGAACTGGGGCGGGTTACCA